CAAATGTAAAAACGGGATTCAATCAGAATTTTTATTTTCTATTATAATGAACTGTAATGATACTTAATTAACATTGATTATAGTCATTTGTTAGAATCATTTATAAACTAACCTGTATTCGTAACCATGAATAATGATGACGATCCAATTACAGGATTATATTTGTGTATATTCTTTCTGAGGTGATACCATCAATGGATATCTTTGTCGCATCCCCATACGATTGAACACCACCACTGATGATGGATATCATCGTTAGAAGTGACAAAATTAAGCATTGAATACTGTTTTCTCTTGGCTTATACTGAACACCATGAAATAGTTGGTCAACTTAAAGTACTATGTATTTAGATTATATGTTTAAGTGAAAACAATACGCTGTTATAAAAATATAGTTTTTTGAGAATATTGAGCTAATTATAGAGTACAGAAAATATTCTTACGCTAAAGATAGATGTAAATCAACCGATAGACAGATGTTCCACCGTAGTATGGAACTGTCGAGCACAAGTTAACAGAGAGTTTCGTTAAAACCTTATATATATTTGGTTGATAAGTTGAAATTCACTCATCATATGTATTTTAGAGTTAGTTTCGTAAGAACTTACCATAAAATATAAAGATTTATTTATTTGGACACATGATTACTGCTACAAAGATGCACCGAATACACATGCGCCATATATGTCACTTGATTTGTGATACTGCCTGGGTGCCCAAACCGAAGCAGGTGGTTTTCTTAGGGGAGCCACACCCGCAGCCTTCGACCTATAAGTCTGACCCACAAGGCAGTGGAGCAACGTAAGGAGATACAGTCTCACAGTAGTCGGTGGTCAACGATTGGTTCATACGCCATTTGTTACCTCAGGATCCTGGAGCCCATGTGTACCATTGGTTTGGAAACAGGGTTTTTCAACTCCTCTAAGCGGATCCTTCGTGTCCACCAACCCGGTTGAAGCACGGGATATTCGCTTTTTGTCCTCTGTTTTTCGTAAACAGTAATGCCGTGAGAATGCAGTGATTAGGATTGGCTGTGTACGCTTGGCCATATGAAAGCATTTAAAGAGGGAGAGCTGACTCTCGCAACCCTCGACTGTACCAAGGCATTCGGGTATTTAAAATAGTTCAAGAGTCATATATACTTATATCAAAATAATACTGGGAATATACAAATGAAATTACACTTACCTTTTTTCGATAATTGACAAGATATTATACTAACTATTACAAACAATTTTACATACAGTCAGTAACAACGTAGAACTTCGTACGTACGTACATCAGTTCGAGTTGCCATACCACATTAGCACCGAGATGCAGTTGTCGATTCAAAAAGTATAAGCAGTAATCGGAAACATTATGGTTTGAAGATGTTATTCAAGGAGTATAATCCAGTGAAATAAATTTGGAAAGAGAAAAATTAAGGGACATGAAGAATTCAAAAGATTAGAATTTGGGAGAACACAAAGAGTGGATGTATGTGCGCCATTGAAAACGATTTTGAGCCATATCATTCAAGGATTCAATTTTAAGTAGAGAATAGACGAGTACATTGTCTAATTATTCCTTGAGCCTCCACTAAATTTCAGTTATATAATGCACAAATAGATTTGTTAAGAAATAATGTTGGTTATATCATTCAATTAAACCTTTAGTAAACGTTTATTATGGATATTCATTCTGCTTATAATAATTAGTAGATATAATAGGGTTTTTATTTTATTGTATTCATTCTTTATTTTAATTATAAGAGATTAATTTTAAGGGTTTTATTTTAATCCTTTTTACCATTAGTCGCATAAACACGTAAATGGTCATGAGATGTTCAATTATCAATTTGATATAAAATTATCTATTTGAAATCATGAGTTAATTGAAGCTAGATCACTATGGAAAACCTGAAAGAACTGGACGGCCGTTTCGTCATAGTATAGGACTCTTCAGCATTGCGCATCCACTATACTGCCCCTTGAGAGATTCGAACCCAGGACTCATCAGTCTTGCGCGTGCCTCTAGTGAGAAGCTGTGGCCAGTGGAGTTCAACTATGTATGTTGTGAGATATCAGCTCACTGAAGACAATGGTGACGGTGGCGCAATTTCGTGGATTGGTTGAAGTTAGATATTAACATCTTTGGATGCTGGCCGGCTCAGTGGTATAGTGGTTAAGCGCTCGAACGCGAAATTGATAGGTCCTGGGTTCGAATCTCACGAGGTAGGATCGTGGATACACACTGCAGAGTCCCACAATAGAAGGAAATGTCCGTCTAGGGCTTCCAGGATTTCCGTGGTGGTGTAGCTTCAATCGACTCATGATTTCAACTAGTGAAATTTCTAAAAATCTTCACAAAACCCCTTCTGATAATAAAATTATCTGCTAGAAAACACTGTTTGAACATTGCACATGATTAGCAAGCATTAGAATGTCTGCTGAATATCTTATGAAGATATATACTGTAAATAAAGATGTCTAACATGGAAATTAATCTTATTAGCTAGCATTATATAATATGCCCTGGTACAACTGACGGTAGGGAGAGTCAGATCTCCTCGAAATGCTCTCACATGGCCTCGTATATACAACCACTATCACGGAAGTCCTACTCAATGCATTCTCGCGGCATTACTATTGTTCAAGAAATTCAGAGGATGAAAAGCGAATATCCGGTGCTTCAAATGGGTTGGTGGACACTAATGATTCACCTATGGGATTTCGAACACCCTGATTCCAAACCAATGATGCACATGAGCTCCAGTATCCTGAAGCAACAAATGGTGTATGAACCTATTGTTGGTCACCGAATGTTATGAGACTGCATTTCCTTACGTTGCTCCAGCACGCACACAAATCAAGTGACTTGTGTGGAGCATTTGTATTCAGTGCCTCTTTGTAGAAATAGTTATGTGTTCAAATCAATTGATGCTCGATTGATGCTGACATATTTGGACATACTCATTGATGTTTAGGATTGAAATTGACCGGTCACTTTTAGTATATGTTGATTCTATGTAGATTGCCATTAATTCACAAGGATTTTAAACAGAGTTGGATGGTATCTACCAGTGGTAATCTATATTTAGTATATAAGTGGATAAAGCGATGGTGTTTGAAGCGAAATGTACTGAATTCGAATTCCAAAGTGAAAACCAACTCTGAGATGCAAAAAGATCAAGTGTGAGCGTCTTAAGTAGGACAGAACGAACATCCAAATTTTCACTGCTAGCGATTATCCAAACTTATAGATTATTTTGTTCGAAATTATGGGTTCAATGGTATTGTAATAGTCTCGAAAAAATGATTAAATCAATAAATATTACCCCAAAATCTTTTTAATGCAAAAAATAGGCGGTACTGTAATGATCGAAAACTCAGGGGGAGAAAACCAATTTATTGTTCAATGTAAAAACACACAATTGCTTGGTAAAATATGAAAATCATACGATGAGACTATAATTTATGGGAGACCTTTGAGTGACGCTACATTAACCTTGATAATGTCCATTTACTGGGTTATAAATAAGTGTGAAGAATTAACATTAAGATTTACAGCTGTACTTTAGGGTTAGGAATTAGATTTAGGGTTTTTATCACAAATTGACGTCAGCTCTATAATGCCGAAATTCTATTTAGACAAATAAATGGATAAATTTCGCGCCAAAATCTAAGACTTGTTACCTTAAACCTGATTGGTTCGTCCATAAATTATAGTCTCATCAATCGTACGTTGAGCATATGCACAGCTTCTTTGTGTAACCCTTTATATACTGCACAGTTCCTCCAATTCTGTCGTCACTTCGGTTGCTCTCCGATTTCCTTCCCGTTCTCTCCATTTCAAACTTCTTCTAACAGGCATTCTACTTCCAGTTGCTGCTACATACTACTTATATCTGTCAGTATTAGTAGCATGCACCACACACTTGTTCTGCTCGTCCTGCTACTCTCTACTTTGTTACAGCCTATGCCAAAATCCCCGGCAAAGTGTCGAACCTGTCGGCTCACTGACCTTCGTAGCTCGGTCGACCTGCCGGGCAATCTAGACCCGATGCCCACCAGGCACTTAGGACGTCCAACGCCTGATCCAACATCCACCTATCACCCGGAACTTCCCGCATCGTCTGTCCGTCAACAGCGACTGCTACACCCAACGTCGCTACGAAAGAGCACTCCACTCTCCTCTCCTCTCCAAGCCCTACAACGGCGACCGCAGAACTGTACGCTCTACACCTCCCCTTCGGAAGCGATACTATATGTAGTGAACAAAAACTCGGGTGGAGAAAACCAACTTATCATTCAATGCAAAATCACTCCACAGTACCTACTTTTTCTGGGTATATCGAATAATATTATCAGCTAATTTTTAAGACACATTACGAGTCTATATAAGTAAAATGATGATAAAATAATTTTATTAAATAAATAAAGTACCTTAAGATGAAGGAAAAAATACTCAGTAATCTTAACAAAGAAATCACATACTATTCATTGGGTAATATCAAACTTTTAATTTCAACAACACTAAATGATCATAAATTGTAAGAATCAATTATTGTCAGAGAGGGGTTTTTGTGGATATTATAGTAATTTTTAATAGTTGAATTCATGAGTCGATTGAAGCTAGATCATGATTGAAATTCTGGAAACACTGAACGGTCATTTCGTCTTAGTATAGGACTCCTCAGCATTGAGCACGCGCTCGCGCGCGAGACTGATAGGTCCTGAGTTCGAATTCCGTGGAAGGGCGGAATCGTGGATGAGAACTGCTAAAGAGTCCCACAATAGGACAAAACAGCCGTTCAGTACTTGAAGATTTCCAATGGTGGTCTAACTTCAATTGACTCATGAATTCAACTATTAAAAACTAATTATTTACTATTTGAAATTTCAAGAGAAAACAAAAAGAATGTTCAACAATCACTCAATCTGTTAACAAATAACAATTAATCAATCATGTAAAGAATATAATCTTCATTACATAACTTAAAAAAGGATTAGACAATATACTAATAATAATAATAATAATAATAATAATAATAATAATAATAATAATAATACTAACCCCTGTCACTATATATAAACAGGAAATAACAAGTGAATGGTGTTTTTCCTTAACAAATGATATAGATCAAACATACATTCATTTATTACATAACAATAAATGAGACTATTCATCTTATTGTGGTTCATATTCATTTGATTAACTATTACGTAATCTTTATGAATGTAAAAAACTATCCAAATAATGCTGAAGACTATTTCAAGAAATGAAAAAAAAAGAGAAAAAAAGAGAATAAAAATAACTAAATGAGTACAGAATTAAATGAACAAAACTGAAAGAAAGAAAACAATCTAATGATGTTGACTGACAATGCAATGATTATGTTATATGGAGGGGGTAGAGAGAGAGAAAGAGGGTAACAGTAACCTTTCTTTCAGTTCGATCAATTAAATAAATAAGTAAATAAAATAAAGAATAAACCGGTTGACAAGATACAATGAGTACAAAACTTGTAGTTTGTGTCTAGTTAATAATGTTTCCTAAATTGTATAAACAGAATGTGTTAGTTAAATAATAAGAGATTTTCTAAATCATATATTTGATATGATTGTTACATTATATTAAATATCAAGTTTGGAATGATATAATCAAAAAGTCAATATGGTGATTGTAAATGAATAATTCGGAAACAATCTCCTTATGATGATGATGATGTGGAGGAGGAGGAGGAGGAGGAGAAATGAAAAATTTCCAAATAAATATCACAAACCTGAATGATGAATAATTGAATTTAATGAATCTGCCGGTGTTAAACGTTCTGAGCATAAAGCTGTCATACTGGATGCACCAGATGAGAAACCAAGTTGACAATTTTCTAATAATCTTAATAATTCCGATGATGTCGGTCCACCAATAAAACAACCATGATAATAATCTGTACTATATAAACATTGATTATTATAATAAATATGATTAGGATAAATTTGAACATTGTTTGAATTATTTAATAATCCATTAGAATTGGCACCAATCATAAGCATAGTATTCCCTCCATAAGAATTCATATTATTTATTATCCCATTAGGATAAGATGTGATTTCTAAAGTAAAGAGAGAGAAAATGTTTTTCTGATCTGTTATCACTAGATTTGATACAGTCAGTTTTGATTAACAAATCCATTGCATAAAGACCAAAAAGAACTATTAGCAAAACAATTTGCACTTTATGGTATGTTATTCATATAAATAACACTGATCGGTTTATAAATTCAATGAAATTCAACAACCTCTACAACCCCAAACTGAAAATTATCATGTGTACACTAGTGGCTAGATTTGAGAGAGAATTCTCGGAGTTCTAGTGAGAAGTCGTGATCAGTGATCAGGCAATTACCAATTGAAGACAACCAAAGATGGTCGTGTGGCATCGTGGATTGGTAAAGTTAGGGATTAATACCGTTGAATACCGGATCAGTAGTTTAAAGGTTAAGCGATCTCGAGCAAGATCGAAGGTCCTGTGTTCGAATTTCGTGCGCGGAACCGTAGAAAATTATTGCTGAAGAGTTCCATATACTGGGACGAAACTGTCGTTTTGTGCTTCCAGGTTTTTAATGGTCGTCTAACATTGATTGATTCATAATCTCAATTAAAACTCAATAATCTCCACAACTCCAGACCGAAAAGAAAATGAATCGTCGATGAAAATCCAAAAGCATATGAAAATAAATCGTATGAAAATAACCTATCATAAACAATATCACTAGAATAACATACTTAGTGCTTGTGAAATAATTTAGAGAAGCCTACTTATACTTGCAATAAGCACTGATCAAGTTGCTTAAAACATGACGATGATACACAGTAAGTAAACCATACGACTCAGAGATCGCATGACACGAAAACTAAAGGCCCTGGGTTCATGAGTGCGAAATTCTAGAAAGTTTTATACAAAGCAGAAATAGCTGTTTAGAGCTTTCTGCTTTTTATTGGTACTCCTCATTTACATCAATCTATGTGAATATAGCCTACAGAATAAGTTACTTGTTTATACAAACGGAACCATTATTAATGCAACCACTTTGAATTATTTACAACAAAATCGAAAGGAAGAGAAATAAAAAAAATCCAAATTGAAAATTGAAAAACCACACCATGTGAAAAATTGTATGCTCCATCTGTATTCATTGTTGATGAATTTGGAATAGTCATTATAGTACCAGGTAAACCGGAACCAGTTCTTGAAAGATTCAATGCTGTTGTTAAATCCCAAACCTATGGGATAAGCACAAAAAAGTTTTAAAAAAAAACATTTGAGAAAAATTGCTCGTTGAATAAACAAAAAAGTGGGGGACCTTTTTAGTAAAACACTTTGCAATATCAGAAAGTGTTAGTGCACTAAAAATAGTCTGCAGTATCGGACAGGGATTAAGTTAACGGTGAAAAAAATAATATTCTCCGATGTAACTACAGCTGGGAGATTGTTGAAAATCGGAGAGGACAGAGCAAGTTAGACAATTCTGATTAAAATTATACTCGAAATTAATAAAACTCTTTCAGAAAATCAAGAAATTTAATGCTAAGAAGAAAAACAGCGAATGAAACTGAACAATCTATTTATGAAAAGTAAAGCTCTTTAAATCTACAAGGGTCAAAATAAAAAATGCTCCTACGTCACAATGAATTATGTCATTTAAGATCTTCAACAGCAGTGTACGATGAGTAATTCGGTTTAAACAGTACATTTTCAGATCATAACACCTGACAGATTTATTTACTTAAACACATAGACATTGATGCAAGGAGGTACTGAATGAATATGCGCCACATAAATCATTTGATTTGTGTGAAGGTTAGGATACTTCCCTGGTGCCGAGACTGAAGCAGATGATATTTAGGGGGGCCACAACCGGAGCCTTCGACCTAAAGGTCTGATCCACAAGGCAGTGGAGCAACGTAAGGAAATGCAGTCTCATAACATTCGGTGACCGACAATAGGTTCATACACCATTGGTTGCTTCAAGATACTGGAGTTCATGTGCATCATTGGTTTGGAGTCAGGGTGTTCCAACTCCCATAGGTGAATCATTAGTGTCCACCAACCCATTTGAAGCACCGGATATTCGCTTTTCATCCTCTGAATTTCTTGAACAATAGTAATGCCACGAGAATGCATTGAGTAGGACTTCCCTGGTAGTGGTTGTATATACGAGGCCATGTGAGAGCATTTCGAGAGGGAGAGCTCGATCTCCCCACCTTCGGCCATACCAGGGCATTTGAGGGCAATACCTGACAGTGTAAGGTGTTGATGTAACAATCATTAAAAAATTGATATTATTAACAATGGTTAGTAAAAATAACTAACCAATTTTAAAGAAAATGGTTTCAATTAATAAATGTGATCTAAAAAATTAACATTAATCCTTCTTTGCCTAATATGCAAAAACAGTGGCCTGGTAGTTAACATGTTCGACTTTCAAGCATCATATAACACAGGTTCAAACCTAGCCATATCTACTTTGATCTGGGTAGCCGGATAGCATCACTGCCCCTCATCACACTCGTAATCAAGTTTCTGTGGAATCAGTTAATTCATTCACCCCATACGTCAGTTATTTATATGCTCATTAAAAGCAAACTATTTTAATAAAACTTCTTACTATGTTTGTTACTCAAAATTAAAAGTTCTTAAGTTTACAACACCTAATAGATTTTATGAGTGAAGTGAACACAAACGTAAGACTACAACTTAAAATGAAATAGCTGTCTTGTGTTTTTTTTTGTTGTTATTTTCTCCAATGATTATTCACTGATGTAAACTAACTTCCAATTGAATCTGAATTTCAATAAACCGTAATTTAACAAACAAATATCGTATTCAAAGATAACCGGGTTTAGGTGGATAAAATATAAAAATAAAAAGTTGTTTTAAAAGCTGCTATATCACGATGGGAATAATGAATGGTAACTTTTGGGGTCCATTTGTGGACCTATACTATGAGTATAATTATTAAGTAACTAAACTATTCATATTTATTGTAGGTATCATTACCAAGGTTTGATTTGATAATTTCGAATAAATTGAGCATTGGGTTGATTGTTATAAATAAATAATGTATTTGTAATATCCCAATGAGTAGAAAATTAGATTTTCTGACGTTTCGTGGCTTAGTGTAAGTCACTTCTTCAGAGAATAAAAAACCAAATTTATTATTATTATTACATATATTCTTGCCCCCAAATGCCCTGGTACGGCCGAGAGTGGGGAGAGTCCGCTCTCCCTCTCGAAATGCTCTCACATGGCCACGCGTACATAGCCCCTGCCACGGAAGTCCTACTCACTGCCTTCACGTGGCGGGGGTGTTGTTTACGAAAATGAGAGGACAAAAAGTGAATGTCCGGCGCTATAACCGGATCCCAAACCAATGGTGCACATGGGCTCCAGTATCCTGAAGGAACAAATGGCGTATGAACCAATCGTTGGTCACCGACTACCGTGGGACTGCATCTCTTCACGATGCTCCACTGCCTTGTGGATCAAACGTTCAGGTCAAAGGCTCCTGGTGTGGCCCCCTAAGAAAACCACCTGCTTCGGTTTGGGCACCCGGGCAGTATCACAGCCCTCACACAAATCAATTGAGATTCGTGTGGCGCATATGTATTTGGTGCCTCCTTGTACTAACACCTATGTGTTAAAATAAAAAATAATAAATAATAAACATATATTCTTATTGGATTACTATTAAATAACTAGATTATATTCTCGATATATTAGTTTTTGTCTTGATTTGCTTGTATATAAGCTGCGTATATCAGAAATATACGATTCATACAGTGGAAGCTGAGATGATGTTCTGCACTCAACACGAAGAACTAAGAGGGAAGATCCAATAAGAACTCAGGGTTGACTCAAGGCTGCTCGTGCTGCCTAACGAATCATTGATTTACTACAGAAACAGGGACATATAAGTCAGTGTTCTGATTGGAGATCTTTTCACATAATAAATGATGAGCTACAGGACATAACAGGATTTTGTGCTAATGTCAGATAATTCATTAATGAGTATTCATTAGTTCATTATGAAATAGATTCCAGGACTTCCGGATATTGTGATGAGCACATAATCATTTAAAGCATTCTGTTAGAATCTAACAGTTAATAATTTCTAATATTAAACCAATTTTCGATACTGAACTCAAAAACTATAGATTTTACTTACTTGTATTGTACCATTTGAATGACCAGTAAATATATATCGTCTTGGATGAGCACCAACTCGATTAAATCCATCATGTTCATGTACAGTAAACGAACTGATAGAACTTCGATCAACAGAGTGAATAACACATATCCTTTATTTTTTTTTTGAAAAATCAAAATATGGGAGATGGGAAGAAAAAAAATAAATAATGTTTCCTTTCATAAACTTATTATTACAGTGTAAACTAATTAGTCATGGAGAATGAATTCGTAAATCATTCACAACTTTCCATAATAAGAGCTCTCTATAGTGTGATAAATGTCATAGAATGAGTAGATGATTAATGTCGGTAGATCTTTACATGTGATCAATTATTGTTACATAAACGCAAAGGTTCAATCGAAATACAATTGTTGAGGCGGAAATTATTCGTAATTGACTGTAACCGAGCAGAGGATCTAACATGTAGGAATTATTAACAATCTTGATATTATCAAGAATATATTTTCCAGGCCGATCAATTTCTAAATCAAATGACTTTGGAAATTTCTTCTACTAAATATAATCTGTTATTAAATAATTCCAGTAAATTTATAGCCTATTATGATCTAACATATTCAATCTAAAGCGCAAGATTCATTTCTTTTGGAATTTGTTTACTATAAATATATTACTTATGAGTAACTACAATGTATTTCCTTTATTTTATTGCACAATGTTTTCGTAGTGTAAGTAAAGATGGATGGTGGCTAGCAATGGAATCTAGGACGCGGGTTACATCCAGCTGAAGAGTCCAATATAAAATGGAACGCGCGTCCTAGATTGCACTGTCAGACAGCGTTGGATGCCGGCTCATTGATCCAATGGTTAAGCGTTCGCGAGCGAGACCGATAGGTCCTGGGTTCGAGTCTCGCGGGAGGCGGAATCGTAGATGCGCACTGCCGAGAAGTCCCATACTATGACGAAACAGCCGTCCAGTGCTTCCGGGCAAATGTAAAATCGTTTAAAAAAGAAACATGATAATAGATGCAATGCATTATGTTTAGCTGCATATAAAACTTCAGTACACTTTCAGTATAATTTCTAGAAACAGATTATAGATACTGGTGACAACCCCAAAAATGCATTCTAAAAATCCCTGGTAAAATACAGTTTAAAGAAACACAAGAAATAAAAACTTCCACCTCCTTCCCCCGTAAAAAATCAAACAACTCACCTTTTACCCGTAGAAGCTAAACGTACAAATAACTGATTGGCTTGAGGTGTTAATTTTTGTACAAATACCAAAACATCTTCTCGTTCGCCGTATGGACCAGGATTATTAGCATGTTTATGCACATCAATTATTGGCCGAATTATATGTTTATGCGTATTATTATGATTATTACTAGTAGTAGCATCAGTAATAGAGGTATTATTATTTTGACTACTAGTTTTACAATTATTTATATTGACATTATTATTATTATTACTATTAATGCATTCATTATCATAACGTCGAACAGACTGTTGTAAACCTCTACAAGTAGATGATGAACGATTTTTGGCTCGATGATTACTATTATGATTGTTAGTAACATCATTATCAATAGTATTGGTATTAGTCACAGTATTGAGGCTATTCTCCAAGGAATTTGTATCAGTTTGATCATTTGAACTGCACAACTCATTATCGGGTTGATTGTGCAACCTAATACAAAAGAATTGTATCATTACACAGATAACACATTATTAGGCAAATAGAATGCCTTGAAAATATTTACTATTGGTACATAAACCGTTGTTTGATGGGATGCGGCCAAATTCACCGGTATTTATTTCCGCAAGCCTTAAATTTACGCTCACAAGAAATTTGTGAATCCTATTTCGTTAACTTGGTCACCAACAAAGCTTACACTATTGCGATTTACGAATTATTCATTACTCCCTCGTTTTGAACTTTTCGTGCTGTTATTATCTCTTACATAAAATATAAATAAATAAACCGACACAATCATTAGGTATTTTAGTATCAATCACATTTTAAATGTAAGGGTTAATGATACTACCAGACTGACTAAACCGAAGTAGGTGAAACGAAATTCAAGACAGGGCTTTGATTGAAAGTCTAACGCTTTGACCACTAAATCACCACTCTTAGATAAATGTTGTTAAAATCTATCTTTTTACTTATTATCCTTAGCAGAGACTGGTTTCCAGAGGTGAATCTCAGAGCTACAGTGACAAGCAATGACTAGAGTATTTTAACCATTTCCGGTGTGAGATAGATATCAACCATGATAATGGATGGTGAAGGCACAAAATCATCAATTGCCTGGAGTTCGAAATACAAACTAATAGGTATCAAAATTAATGATCTGAAGATCAAGATCCATCACGAGGACTGAAGTTCTTGGATTCGATCTCTGGTGGGATTTTGAATAGGCATTATTGATGAGTCTCATACTATGACGAAATAACTGTCCATTGTTTTATGGTTTTCGATGGTTATCATCTCAAGATGTGAAAATTCAACTTTTTAAATAATTCGTTGTTGGTTTTATAGATACTTCTGAACTTTTAATACTGTTATACAGAAAGTCAATTAATGGATCTGTACTATATATATATTTGTATACAGCCATAAAATGAAGGTAATTGAAAAGAAATAATTTTTCGTCATATTTGTAGCATAGTCATCCGAACATGTTCAGACAGATTCAATGAAAAATGAATTTTATGTTTAAAATTGACAGAATTTCGTGTATCATATGAAAAGAAATGAAGTGAGTGAATAAAGTAAAAGTAACATTAGGAAATACTAGTTTCTTCGTAGTTTCTAAATCATCAACTGAACTTAGTTAAATCCTCATTGGAAATCTGAAAGCACTGGATGGCTTTTTTATCCCAATATGGAACTCCTTAGTAGTGTTTTCACGCTGCGCCACAGGTTATTGAATCCCAGACGTTTAGTCCCGTGCGCAAATCCATAACCTTTAAACGATCACTCATCAGCTGGTTGCACTTGCAACTTGGAGCTGATTTTCAGTTTGGGACTCAGACTCAGTACATTTTGTTTCAAATGCTATCGCGTCATCCAATTAACCATTGAGTCTAGACATTCATTCACTTATGCAACGGATATAGAATTTAATTTAATTTGTACTGATTTGGATTATCCTGTAGTCGATATTTTTGATACTCATGTACATGATGTCTTCTTTGAATCACAGTATCTAAACTACTCTTCGTTGCATTCTATCTATTTTTCCGTGATATTTTGTACACAACAAATATATACAGATTAGAATATAATGAATGTATTTAAAGTTAATTATTTAAGGTTAATAGCAAGAAAGTCAAAAGTAAGTGTATTGTCTCATGAAGTCGTATAGTTCGGAATTTTTAACAGAACATTGACAGATAGATAGAATTAGATCATCACTAACGTTTAGAGAATCATTGTAGTCATTATCTGTTAGTTATTTTAATAATTCTAAAATGCTTATATGTATATACTAACAAAGAATATTAAAATATATCACGTGATATATAAAAATGGATTACCCAGAGGCATCTTCATGAAGCCATGTTGTACGTGGAAGAACAACGATATCTGATTGTGCATTTGAAAACATATCACCGATTCCTTCTGCTTCATTACCTAGATTTGATCTAAGAGTATTAGACGAATTCGATTGAATTATATTTGATGATATATCAAGTGACTGAAGTCTATTCGATGAACAAACTGCTGACAAATTAGTGTTGAAATTATTTTGCTGATGAGTATCAGATTGAGACGATGATGGTGATAATGGTGAGGATGTTGATGGAGAAGTCAATAAATCATGCGAAACACCTTGAGCACTGGATGAACGTGAATTTGAACCATGTGAATGCCAGTGGGACAAATTGTAGGATAAGGGATTGATACGATTCGATGTATCATTAACTGTATTATCATTATTATTACTATTAATATTATTAATATTATTATTACGTGATAAATTAGTGCCAAGGACAGAATGAGCTCGAACTATTTCATTCTGAGTTGTTGAATTCAGATTTTGTTTGTGACATTTTTGAGTAGCTTCTAAAATAGAATCGACTAATTGTTGTGTGGCATTATTGGTATCTAGTATAGTCATATGAAATGAGCCTACAGGTGTGGAACTCGGTTGTGTACTGATAATTCCACGGAAACGTGTCACCTTCCATGTACGGACGTGATGAAATTCATTGCACACTAGAAAAAAAAGAAAATTTCGATGCAAAAAAATTAGTAGAGTAAAAACAGCATATATTTGAAGTAAGCAAGCGTAAGCAGACCAAGAGTGAGAAGAGAACCAAATCGAAAATATATATACATACGGATGAACATATATCTTACTCGCTTAGAAAATTAAGCTACATCTTTAACCAATGGTGTTCTCCCAAATAATAATCTTCTGAATTCTTCATGTCCTTTTTTTGCCTTTACAAATTCGCTTCACTGAACCATACTTTTTGACTAACATCTGTAAACCATAATGTTTCCGATTACTGCTTATACTTTTACTACTTCTACCACTATGGGATTTGAATTGACAACTGCATCTCTTCTAATGTGGTATGGCAACTCGAACTGATGTATGTACGTATGAGGTTCTACGTTGTAACTGACTGACTGACGTTAGAAAATCAGGCCAAATCTTGTAAGCTTATTTTCCCTGACTAGCTTAATGTATCAAATTCATACATACACTCAGGAAAACAACTTGGAATATATATATATATATATATATATATATATATATATATATATATATATTAAAAAAATTAATATGAACAGAACTATTAATTCAAGCATTAATGAAAACAAACTAACAAAGAAAGATATAAACATAAACCAAGATATGGAATCAAAAGTTAGTAAATCTGTAATCATTTCAGTAAGCCTAGTATCAATTCTTCTTTTCCCTGCTTCATTTTCTGTCATTGTTCATTACTGTTTATGATCAATATTTGGGTAATTTTGATGAATATATATTTATGTATATTTCACTAAACGAAAATATACATCTTTTCAAGTGACTTGAAATAATAATAATAATAATAATAATAATATAGTAATGAATTTGTGAATTAGTGTGCTAGATAGGACACACATTGAAGAAAGCACCCAATTGCGTCACAAGACATTTATTTATTTATTTATTTTAACACATAGATATTGGTACAAGGAGGCACCAAATACATATGCGCCACACGAATCTCAATTGATTTGTGTGAGGGCTGTGATACTGCCCGGGTGCCCAAACCGAAGCAGGTGGTTTTCTTAGGGGGCCACACCAGGAGCCTTTGACCTGAACGTTTGATCCACAAGGCAGTGGAGCATTGTGAGGAGATGTAGTCCCATTGTAGCCGGTGACCAACGATTGGTTCATACGCCATTTGTTCCCGCAGGATACTGGAGCCCATGTGCACCATTGGTTTGGGGTCCGGTTAAAGCGCCGGACATTCACTTTTCGTCCTCTCATTTTCGTAAACAACACCCCCGCCACGAGAAGGCAGTGAGTAGGACTTCCGTGGCAGGGGCTATGTACGCGTGGCCATGTGAGAGTATTTGGAGAGGGAGAGCGGACTCTCCCCACTCTCGGCCGTACCAGGGCATTTGGGGGCACAAGAGAAGCCCTCACATGGAATCCTCAAGGCCAAAGGAAAAGAGTAACACATTATGCCGGGAAATAGAGATAGACATGAGAAAAATGAACAAGAATTGGATGGAACTAGAAAAGAAGGCCCAGGATAGAGTGGGTTGGAGAACACTGATCGGCGGCCTATGCTCCATTAGGAGTAACAGGTGTAAGTAAGTAAGTAAGTCTGCTAGACCTTGGTTTCCCCTAGGTCGTTGTCATTAATTGATAGAAGCTTTATTACATAATGACAGTAAATTTATTCATAAGAATCCTATACATTTAGATTACTGAATAAATATTTGTAAATTAATGAACAATAAATTAAAATGAATTCGAATTTCATTTAATATTATTTATTATAATTAACATTACAAAATGTAATTTATTTATTATAATAAAAGAAGTACCTGAAATCAAATATTTCTCTGATAATACAACACGTATAACCATTGATCGATGAACATTAAACGTTTGAAATAATTGAGGACTGTAACCAACCGTTTCTGGATGCTGAACTATTAGGCATACACGACCAGATAATGTACCATAGGCAATTTCCATCCAATTACGGCTTGAATAAGCTTCAATGAAATGCATATATATATCATTCATACATCTGGTTTAATGTCATTACAATTGGGTGGGTACATCACATATAATATATAATCCAATAACAAATGAAGAGGGAGATAACTGGCTTGAACGCCCTCAAATGCCCTGGTATGGCGAATGAACCAATCGTTGGTTACCGGCTACCATGAGATTGTGTCTCCTTACGCTGCTCCACTACCTTGTGGATCAGACCTTTAGGTCAAAGGCTCAGGGTGTGGCCCCCTAAGAAAACCACCTGCTTCGGTTCGCGCACCTGGGCAGTATCACAGACCTCACACAAATCAAATGAGATTTGTGTGGCGCATATGTATCTGGTGCCACTTTGGATCAATATCTATGTGTTCAAATAAATAATAATACATAAATACTGGTTTGAACATAAGTTATTCACGGATGCACAAAAAATACTGGACCGAAACATTTATCTATGTTAAACCAAGTTGAGAGCTTTTTAGTACACTCTTTTGACTAAGAAAGGAAGCGAAGCAAATCACATTTTATCTTGTTAACACAATGTATTCTGAGTTACTTAAACCTGCAGCACAATTAGAAAATTCAAATTAAATAAAACCATAACGAAATTACGATAGTAACAATAAATCAAAGTGGATTTTTCCATTTCTGTCTACCAACTAATTCAGTTGAGAAGGAAATTACTGAAATTCTAATTTTCAGTAGTATTTTATTTATTAGCTAATACGCAAATTAGTTTGCGTTTGTTAAGTAATATTACCTCTCACTTATGCATGGAATATTTATGCAGTATTTGTTACACTACTGCAATGAAATAATAGTAGTTTGAAGAGTTATTTACATTTTTATAGGTATACAATTCTTATTAGGATTGAACCCTGTGTACCGGTAGTCATGTGGTTAAGGGTTTGGGTAACAATTATATTTATATTGTTTACAAACCTACATTTTAAGTTACGACTTAGGATTTGATTAAATTTGAAAGAATTTGTAAAATATTTTCAAAAAAGTTGCAAGATTTTATACACACATTGATGACTGATAAACTGGGCAAATAATGAACTACTATTTCTCAATAATCTAGCTCAGTTCATTAAAAACACACCCAAAACCATACTGTTTAAAAGTTAATAATGCCATAAAGGTGACCTGACTAAATTAAGTGGACTAATTCACAAAATTAAACCACTGAGTCACAGCACATATTAATCGCTAGACTAGACAAAGTATGATTATTTCAGATTACCAATTTCATTCTTATGATGAAAGATAAACGAGTTTTCCCTCTTAAAATGAAGAGTAGTTTTTAGAAGACTATATGAAGAGATGGACCTGTATCGTTAGTTAATGGAATGAATGATAGACACATCCGAAATAATTTGCTCCCACTTAAATGGTAACAGTTGGCGAGGTAAGACAGGTTACAATCTGCGAGGCGAACTAACATGACTTTTAGTAGTACTCAGTAGTACTCAAATACTGTTTGTAGGAGAAATTTGAAACTATAAATTAACTAAACCTGAGAGAACTGGACGGCCGTTTCATCCTAGTATGCAACTCTTCATCAGTGAGCGAACACGGTCCCGAATACAGAACACTTGGTCTCGCGCGTGAACGTTTAACGTCTAGACCACTGAGCCGGCACACGTGGTAATGTCTAACTTAGATCGATCCATTTTCTGTGGTGGATTACTGCCTCACATCCAACACGGATTGGATGCCACTAGTCACGGCTTCTAACTAAGACTACAGGAAATCCATCTTGAAGCTAGTCACCAGAGAACATATGATTATTGGTAGTATGGGGAATTTATTTTACTTCATTTAAATACATAAACCTTGATACAAGGCATCGACTGAGATGGTTGGGACACTTTATACGTATACCTGAACACCGATTACCACGACGCACAACGCCGACTAGTGTAGGGGATAGTTGGAAGAAAGTTAGAGGCGGTCAAACCAAAATATGGCATCAATGCTTGAAGTCATTAACTTTTAGTCTGAACCATGTTGGTAAATGCACGCTACTTGGTTGGGGTCCGTGCGACTATCGTAACCAATGGTTGGAGACTCTGGGTTTTATGGCTTACAATCGATCGCAATGGTGTAGGCGAATACACTCTCTGTCTTCCTTTAAACTATGAGATTAAAATTACTTTATACCTTCCTACCAACTAATTCTTTCTTCCTGTACTATATCCTTATATGCAATCTTTCTTTTATATATTACTATCATTGAACTAACTACTTCTATAAATTTGGTGTTCATCTTGTTGTGCTAATGAAGTAATGGCAACTTGGACCGATGCATGTATGTGCCTGGTCCGACGTTGCAGCTGACTGACTGACGAATGACAAATTTTCGCAAAAAATGGTATGGTTGAAATATATATCACTCGATGACCTTGAGATTATAATCCATTTAGCCAATCAGGAGATATTAAATATAAATGAGTTACTATGATAATATTAGGTAAATAGAATATGGTTTAAGTTTGTTACTATAATCGATGTCCATTAATGATGAAATCTTTAACTTTAATTCCTAAATCTATTTTAAAATAATTTACACTTCCACCACTGATTAGGTGGAAGATTTCAGGTTAACCTGAGAAAATATTTATCATTTTAGATTTCCTGAAAAGATGGTAAATCAAAAACTGGTTTACACTTTCTATGATTCTTCTATTCGTTGAATTAGTTTGGCAAAAATCAAGTATAACAAATAAATGAGCATGATCAAACCCCAGTTTTTGAATAAATACTGAGTTAAGTTCAAGGCTAATGTTATAAGACAACCAGTGATATTAGATTCTTAAGTATTAAGCTCAATCAGGAAGTGATTGAAGAAGACATCAGTCAACGAATGTTGAGGTGATTGGTCGTGGGAGGATATTTTATTCTTCATAAGATTCGAGGATTATCATGAAATTCCATTATTTTTAATATCACTATAAGATAAAGTTTATAATTCTTAATTGTTCTTTATGAGCTTCCAAGAGAATTCCAGACAATGATGGATTTTGTTGTTTTCATCTAACCGGACAATTACTGACTTCGTTAACAGGTTTAACATGTTTTCAGGAAGCTTCTGGAATTTCAATATCATAAACGATACTTTAGATACCTTTAATCTCTGTATAAGAATCAAAGCTTTTCTTAAACTTCTTGATCTCGATTTTTTTCTCCAGAATTCAAGAGAAATTTCGGAAACTGAGAAGCGCAATTAGGAAGTTTGGCGTCTAGGTGTTAAAGAAACAAGACGTATTAAGGCCTGTGTCCTTATTTTTCAACTACGCTATTTTTCCCATTTAAAAATTGTTAATATTATCAGGCTGTTCAAAACAAAATAAGTGTAGTACGGTTTAAACTCACAACTTAGTGAATGATAACTAAATCTTTTAACCGATAAGCCTTATATATTTCGTTTATCAATGGAAACAAATTAATTAATTAATTGTAAAACAGAAACGCTTACATGTTTTTGGAGATAAATGTACACTAAGAGCAGTGATTGGATCACGTAATGGATCACGATACATTTCTGTGACTAAAAGATCATTATCCACTATACGTAAAGGGAATTTTTGTATATCTACCGGAGTATACAATGGAAAAGAAACGTGTAATTTGCATCAAAATATTTTTTTAAAAATATTGTAGGCATAGAAACAAACTTGAAAAGTTAAAATATCTAATGCAACAGTTTAATACTTCAGACAAATCAGTGTTGACTTTCATAGAACTAATTTCATATTACTAAATAACTTGTATTTTTCAGCTTATACAAAACACAAATTCCATTATTGACAAGTACCGTAGATGTGATTAGAAGGTACATATTTATGTAGTAACTTGTGATGCAAACGTATTGTTTAAATAATTTTACCTAGCAGCTAATAATCTATGGTAAAGAATTAAGTTCAAAGCTGAGATCAAAAAGGCTAAGAAATAGGATTCTAAACCAATCCAATTACAGTTTTACAAAGATGCAGACTTGTATAAATCATGAAACAAAATAAAAGTGCCAAGAAATAGGATAATTTACAATTTTTCCTAATTATCTTTTACGAATCCATAATTCTATGAGCGATCACATTAACGGATTTCGAACCTAGTGATAACTTGTTAAAGGCACTCAAAAAAAAAAAAAAAGAAAATTCACCCGGGTATAATTTCAATCTTTATTCAAACTGATTATCTTTAAGGATTTAAAACTGTACATAAAGATGTTGAGGCTAAAACTTCATACTACATAGATGAATTATAGTTCAATATGAATGGTAAAAAAGTAAAGATTTAACGAATGTGAGAAACGGTTGTAGTTGAATTGTCTAGTAAATCTTTGATAACCTACAAAATAGGCAATTCCAAAGAAACTCTACAACATTTGAACCCAAAAGTTTGCATGAAAGAGTTCATATATATATAATGTGTGGTAGTGAAAGTAAATGTGATTGGTCACTGAGTGTGTGAAGAAACAGGCACTCAGCTCACTGACTAGTAAATACGTGATACTCCTTTTTATCAATGGATTTCTGCTCCTGACTCGCTGAGTGTGCCCCCAAATGCCCTGGTACGGCCGAGAGTGGGGTGGGTTCGCCCTCCCCCTCCAAATACTCTCACACGGCCACGCGTATACAGCCTCTGCTAGAGAAGTCCTACTCACCGCCTTCTCGCCACCGGGGTGTTGTTTAAGAAAATGAGAGGACGAAAAGCGAATGTCCGGCGCTTTAACCGGATCCCAAACCAATGGTGCACATGGGCTCCAGTATCCTGCGGGAACAAATGGCGTATGAACCAATCGTTGGTCACCGGCTACCATGGGACTGCATCTCCTTACGATGCTCTACTGCCTTGTGGGTCAGACATTCAGGTCGAAGGCTCGGGGTGTGGTCCCCTAAGAAAACCACCTGCTTCGATTTGGGCACCCGTACAATATCACAGCCCTCACACATATCAAATGAGATTTGTGTGGCGCATATGTATTTGGTGCCTCCTTGTACTAATATCTATGTGTTAAAATAAAATAATCACTGAGTGTGACTACTTGTAATTGTGTGGAATCAATTATTGTGTCGAGTTACTCTGATTCTCTGTTTTGGTTGTAAATTGCACATCTGATCTAGTATTGTGTATAGCTGATTGTAAGAGTATCCAATCTAGCGGTGGTATTAACTCGGTTATCCAGACCAGTCTTATTATTATTGTATTGTCGTAATATGGTAACATCTTGTGCAAGAGAGAAAAATATTTAAATCCATCCGTTGTATCAATGCATATATACTTGATAGTAGGATTTGTTTGGTCCTTGTTCCAGAGGGATCATGGATGGATTTTTATAGAGAATTCGGTAAATAATTAGCAAAAAACAAGATGCATTGCATTGTTTACATTGGAAGTCAGACATACTTTTAAAAAAACACCACAACTTACTTATACTGCATATACATCCACTTGCACAGCCTAAAAGTAACAACTCAGAACCGGCAACAGCATAACTCAATATAGGGACAGTACTCCATACCTAAAAGATATGAAATAGATAATTAAAATGATATAAAAATAATTTGGAGACTAATAGAATGTTCATATAAGCAACTATGTACGTGACTGATTAGAAATCAGTAATTAAACTCTTCTGTTAAACAGGAGGGGTTGAACTTGTAACCTATAGGTTAGGAACTAAACTCATAAGTTACTATTTCACCATACAAACCGATACAATAGATGGCTTAAAATATTCTCCCCTCTTTCAGGTATATTACGATGATACGTTAATACGATAATGAGACTAGTCAGGTTATATGAAACCCAGGATTCACGACCCAGAATAGAGAACCATATTAACATTAGATGATACTTTACCCAGCACAGTGCAAACAGTCACACTCAGTAAGTTCAGAGCGGAGGAAATGAAATCATATATTTATGAGTCAGTAGGCTAAGTGCTTGATTGACCACGCTCAGTGAGCAATCATATTTTACTTTCACTACCACATATCACAAACACGGACAATGATTAGAACGATTTTAATCGATTGGAAACTAGGTTGTCATTTTTTAAAAACCAGTGACTGCCTAAAATGTTAATTTCCAGTTAATTCACTTTATAACGAATATGAAAGAAATTTTCAAGAAATTTCCTGTTTAGTATAGATTTGTCAAGATTGTTTACATTAAGAACTGGACAACTATTAAAAACTAGAAAGCACTAGAAAGTCGTTTCTTCCTAGTATGGGATTCACTAGCAGGGTGCACATACGAACCAGATGAATGGAATATAACCCAGGACCTTTAGTTTCACGAATACTTAGTTTCTAGATCATTCAATTCGCATTGAATGGTGTATGTACCTGACTTCAATCAACCTAAGATATTCCACAACCATCTTCCGTTGTCTGTGGCACATAACTGTCTCACATCCGATATGATTGAACTCTACTGGTCTCAGCTTCTCGCTAGAACTCCTAGAATTGCACTTAGAAGTTAATCACTAAAGAGTACATGATTATAATTAGTATAGAAGGTTCGTGGAGGTTGCTGAATTTTCATAGATTGCATCAGAAACTGAGCTAGCTAGACAGCTATTTCATATTTTTCCTATATTCAGTTTAGTCTACTAAAAATGCTGAATCGAACGATTTTAATAAATGCATCCTAAAACTGATGTACCTCAATTGACACAGAGGGTTGTAAGCGGTTGACATAGATTTTTGCTAACTATATTTTAGAAAGAGGTAAGTGACAGACTGAAAATCTGCGAAAGATAAAACAGCATGTTTATTGGTGAAAGATCAGAGAAGAAATGCAATTTCATGCGGTTAGATTCTAGCAATTAGAGGAGAAATTTAGAACGAATGTTATACGTTGGCCAAATCAGTCATAGATTAAATAAAATGTGAGAGATGTTGATGGGCGCATGCTAGTGAACAAGACTGCCTCACTTTCTAAAGGAACAAATTTAGGCTATTGACTGAAAATAAGCCTTGATTTTCTGACGGACATGTGCCAACACTTATGAGTTACGCATATATTTTCGATTCGATCAGCCAATAAAGGTTTTCTGCTCACTCTTGGTTTTCCCAGTCAACTAGCAGATTGAGCTCGAATGTAGGAAGCACGCACGTCAGTATTAAACTCAGATGACAGCAGGTTATAGAACAGAATGAAACTTATATGTAATCTCAAAACACAGTACATTTTAATGCACATATGTATAACTAAAACTTACTTGCCATGCATTAGTCATTACATGTCGAACACCAACTAAACCATATCGACTGAGTGCGACGAGATGAGCACCAATAAATAATAAATAGTCTACTGAACGTCTATTCAAATCATATTGGCCAACCTTTAACAACAACAAATGTTAAAAAGAGAAAGTTTCTGAAAAAACTGATGACAATATGTAGAACTTTCATTTTCAAAAAAGATAATAAAAAAGCCATTAGTGAACTCCTTTTGAGAATGAGATGTGCAGTAACCATTTTCTTAATCAAATAACGGATAATTTTGCCATCTAGGACTAATAAGGAACATTTGTCAAAGATCACAGAACAAATAGCTTGAACTACAAACACAGAAATTTATTATTTGATAAAATATTCATTTACCATTTCACAAGTCCAAGGTTCTTTAATTTTAGCTAACGGTGGATAACTATCCAAGCTTTTCACATCTTGCATAGGCATAAATGGGTATAATGGAGAGAGAAAATAAGTAGCAGGTGATGTAGTTACTCCATATGTACCAGCATATGAGACAACTGCAGAGATTAATCCCGATGGTGGATATAAATACCACAGTCTAATAGTTGATCCAACAGCTACAGCTAATGTACATCCTCCACAACTAGATGAAGATGAGTTTATCACGGAAGGTAAATTATTCGGCCCAGATATAGAAGCCTGGTTGAATTGTGATGATGTATTCTGTGAGGATAAATTAGTAGGAAAGTTAGAACTTGTATTAAAACTTGAATTCATGACATTATTCGACATTGGTTGATTCGAGCCATTCAAATTATTATTATTACTACTATTACTATTATTGCTTATACTAACGTTGGTTGAATTACTCCCGGATGGATTTACATTTGATGAATTCACTGTAGCATTTAAAGGGAATAGAGATGTGGTTGTTATTCCAGGTTGAGTAGGATTAGGACTGAAACTGTTTTGATTCGGTGCTTTTCCAGTAAGAGCGATTCGATCAATCGGTCCTGGCAAGATAGGACTTAACCATGTTAAATGCCAACCAATAGGATCTTTTAACCTATGTGAATAAAATGAAGACAGAATTCAATAAAACAATACCGGATAATGTGTAGAGGACAATGTATATTGTATGAATACATCGTCTTCACAAGATATACACATTCCACCATTCTCATCTTTTTGATAATACATCCGGTTTTCAGTTACATTCATCTTTCGGATGATAAATCATTTACTAATGGAACTGTTACGACCATACTTGATAATAATATAAAAGATTTTAACTTCTGGTAACTTCCATAACTATTGCTGAGTCAGAAAACAACCTTATTATTATTAACGGCTTTATTCAGTATTATATTTTTTGGCACAATATAGAATTCTCAGCACAAAGCACTCCATATAACAAAAAGCGGATGATTCGTTTTATAATAAGTAGTGACAATGGCTTCTATTCAAAGTGAATAAGATATGTTTACACATATGTCAATATTTAGCAGGTAACTATATAAACCATTAAATCAGTTTTATTAAACTATTTACATATAACCCATTTATCTGGCACGGATCTGTGTACTTGGCTTTGTGCTATACTCTAAGTCTGAATACTAGTGTAGTGAACGAACACTCAGGTGGGTAAGACCAATTTATTGTTTAATACAAAATTACAGAACGTTTTTATAAAGTATAAAAACCATGCATTTGCACATCTTCCATCAATTATCTCTTACAAACCTCGTCGTTTCTTCATTCCTGTTTTATTACAATTGCTCTCCCTTCACATCCCTGTCCTCTTCAATTAGATCTTTTCAAACGTCTACTGACAGGCATTTCACTACTGATTGGTGTTACATACTACTTATGCCTGTCCACATAAGTAATATACACCACAACAGTAGTGCTACCTAGCTCCAAAACTATTGCTTAGTAGCTAAAAACTTCATCCCGTAACCACTGAGCAGCGACTCCATCTACCCAATTTAAGACTATCTGTTTCTGTCCAAGTCATATTCTTACATGTTCAATTAGCACTTACCAATAAAAGTGTACTTGTTTTCTTTCTCTGAGTTTCATTTATACAGATAGTATAAAAATCATTTCAAGTAAGTTTTTAGTCAACGGGAGTGACAGATACTTGAAATCACATCAAATAATACCCATAAATTTACCTTTTTTCTTAACGATATTAACAACAGATGAACTCTTCATCGTTTATTCATCTTAACAATTAATTCTGGCTAGATATTGAATGATTTATGATGATGTGAATATGTTTGAACATTTTTATGTCCAACTAATCGTTCAGTCGATTCCAGTTGTAGTAAATTGCAAAACCTTACAGTGTCTTTGGAAAAAACCCAGGAGTAGAATGTAATACTCCGACTATTTAGCACATTTAATGTATTCCAAGACATTAAGGAGGTAAACAAATTATATTATTATTATTTATTTTTTTAGTCGTTTCAACATTGTGGAGATTGTATTGGGCAAGATCATGGGTCGATTGGTGTAAGATAATAGTAACTGCATGATGGTTCAGTGGCTTTATTTATTTATTATTTATTTTAACACATAGATATTGGTACAAGAAGGCACCAAATACATATGCGCCACACAAATCTCATTTGATATGTGTGAGGGCTGTGATACTGCACGGGTGCCCAAATCGAAGCAGGTGGTTTTCTTAGGGGGCCACACCAGGAGTCTTCGACCTGAAGATCTGATCAACAAGGCAGTAAAGCATCGTAAGGAGATGCAGTCCCATGGTAGCCGGTGACCAACGATTGGTTCATACGCCATTTGTTCCCGCAGGATACTGGAGCCCATGTGCACCATTGGTTTGGGATCCGGTTAAAGCGCCGGACATTCGCTTTTCGTCCTCTCATTTTCTTAAACAACACCCCGGTGGCGAGAAGGCGGTGAGTAGGACTTCTCTAGCAGAGGCTGTATACGCGTGGCCGTGTGAGAGTATTTGGAGAGGGAGGGCGAACCCACCCCACTCTCGGCCGTACCAGGGCATTTGGGGGCAGTGTAGTGTCAGGGCTGAGGTTTGAACCCACGCCCACAGAGTGGACTACGATTGTTGGGCAATGTATATCACAAGTTAAAAGCGAATAAAAATCAAAAATCCGTACAAAATATTGAAAAAGTCACTTAACAATTGACAAAATGTACAAGATCAAGTACTAAGACTCAGAATAAACCTGTAAATAACTTACGAGAATACACCTACACAATCGGAGTAAGCAGCAGCCATTATGCTTTGATGACAAACAAGTAAGGTTACAGGTTTATGATGCAACTCAGGATTGGTTGAGTGTAAATCATTACTTTCAAAATCCTGACTAGTTGATTGATTAACTGGGTTCGACGCACTTGCCATTGACTCGTCAGGAATTGTTTGTGTAGGACAGTCAGATAGATAGTCGTGCTTAGATGTATTTTGATTACTAAAGTGATGAGAACGGAAAGAGTGAACAAAAATAGTGAGAACAACACTTATTTTTAAAAATTAGAAAACAAAATGCACTGATAAAAGATAAATATCTTCTATTCAAGCAGTTATGTACACATGTCTTTGCTTTAATGCTTACAACTAGAAAGGCTGTTTTTGGTTGTCTCGAAGATGATAGCTCTGACAGTTCATACAAGGAGGAACTGGTAGAGTGACCATCAATACTCATGCTTACCCATTCAATTGTCAAACTAGATCTTCCGTAAAGATAGTGAAATAGTTAGTTCTTTAAAACCAAAGTTTAGGCTCGATCTAATTAACTACAATAAAGTGAAAACTAAAATGAAATGGGATGTAAAATTAAAAAGTCTATCCTATGGATTAATTAAGTCAACTAGTGTCCATCTGAGGTGCCTATAATCTATTTTTATTCGACACTGTCAAAGATAAACTTTTTAAAACTTAGACATCTTAGACATGATCAAACCGAAGTGAAGCATAGCCTTATCAAATGAAGACGGTGGAAAGTACAGTTTTTAGACATCATTTACCAGAATATTTGCCATGTTGTAAAAATATATGAAATGTCGTTTGACGGTTGGTTTTTATCGATCTATTACCCCAATAGTTGAGTGAACTGTCACCTAGACATTAGTAAGTTGATGATCAACAAAATCTTGGCACAACTAAAATGCGCCGATTTTCCAATCATAGAACTACACAGCTTGTAGTGTAAATGAGATATCTCAATTTTTAACAATATATGAGTGTGTATTTCAGAGATGAAGTTTCTTCCCCTACTTAATGGCCGTTGAAAAAAAAACACAAGATATTTGAAGCTTTACGATATTTTCAACCCAACTTCCGAGAATAGTTGGACCAAAAAGTAAAACGTAATGGGGTTAAGTAAAAAGAAATCTTTAATTAAAATAAGTTTGCCAGATGATGAGAATGAAAAATTTGAACCTGCAACTTGGTTAAATCTTATTTTGAGGCTAAAGCTACTATCCAGTTCGACTCACTAATTTGATCGAAAAAGCATAAAAGTAAGGCAATAAAGTCCAAATCACATTATCCACCTATTACGTAAAAAAGGAATAAAATTAAAATCTAAAAATTTCAGGTACAGTAGTCCAAGAGCGAACGCATCGTACTATATATATTTGTTCCTTATTGTACAATGTTTATGAATTTATCTTACGTTATCATGTTTTCTCGATTTGTTTTGGGATCCAACTTTCGCTCATTACATTCTACAACAAATTTATCTTTCTGAGCTATTTGTGAAGCGCGATAACTCAGAACGATAGAGTACTGGGTTAGAATTTATACTAGTATGTTTCACTTAACGTAATTCTAGGGATTAATAAACGCTCGAAAGCACGCTTTATGAATAATGGGAATTCGAAATTAAAGGTAACTATCAATGAATGAAATTTCAAGCAAATATTATATATAAATATCAATTGAACTTACCCTTTAGTTCTATTTATACCACAACTAGAAGCATCACTCATTGAATTATTTGTCCGTGTCTTAATCGGTGAATTCTTTATTTTATGTTGCAAATTTTCGGAGCCTTTTATCAGTGCATTTGAATGTTTTTTCATAGATAAACTAGCAGTGGTGTAAGTCGGTAGACCTACATTATTTCCAGGACTAGACTGATTACCACAATGGTTGTCTTTATTTGCACCCCACCTGAAATGTAACAACAATAACAACTGCTGCTATTTACACTAATTAACACTATCATTGATTCATTTTTCACGTTATAATAAGGAAAACACAAACAGTTAGATCAAAATAAACAGTTACATAATATCAAGTGTAAGTACAACTATGTGAAACTTGTCATGATGACTGAGGTGCCCGGTGAAATACTAAGATTTACTGAAGTGGTCTAACTGATAACTTACGAAAACGATTTCCAAATGCCGACAGAATAGATTTTAGAAGACAAAGTCATGAAAATAGTAAGGTATTCAATGATCATTTGTTTCCGGTGGTACACCAAGAAAAGACCTAGTTGAAAAGTGAACTATGAAAGTTAAAAGATTCATACAAATTGACATTGTTACCGATGTAGAAACAAAGTTGCACAACATACTACTGGTCTATGAGTGCTCATAGATCCCTTAATCCACCTAGAATTTTAAAGTACTCTATAAATCACGCTAGTAAATCTTTGCTTTTTCAATTTGAACGAAATCCTGTGGAAGTGAATATTTACTGCGAAGGATCACACTTTAGATTACTTACTAAAATGATGGCTTTACTCCTACATTAGTAAACGATAATTCAGGTGGAGAAAACCAACTTATTGTTTAATGCAAAATTACAGTGTCTTCATTAAATACGAAAAGCATACGTTAATACATAATTTGCACATCTATCAGTTGTCCTCTATATGCTTCATGATTCTTTTAATTCCGTTGTTGTCATAATTACTTGCTGTTCCCCTTTCTATTTTCTTTAATTGAGTCCTTCCAATCTTCTGCTGTTATGCATTCCACGTCCGACTGGTGCTACATACTACTTGCATGTGCCAACATTAGTATTCGCCACACTACTAATAAAATAACAAGTAGAATGTGTAACCTTTACTTCCTTACGGATATGTGGGATAACGGGTCAGTAACCATGAATACAATAATACAACGGTTAAGAAAGATTTACTTTGTGTGACAGCTACGTGTATCAACCGACTATCTTTACCACAAAAGGACAAAGAATACGAAAACGTAATTATCAAGATAGGGGTAATTCTCGAGATCAACATATAGTCACCTTATTAGATATTTAAAGCAAAAATACTATTAAGCGCAAAACAAGTGTACCAATCTGTAATTACGAAGGTACTTTGTAGCAGAAAGATATTATCATTATAGTGTTCAGAATAAATTTCATTTGTTTACGTAATTATCATAGTATATATCAGAAGGTAGACGTCCTTGAAATTCTGAAGAAAATTTATGAACTCTTGTTAATGGTATTTAGGATTCTTTAAATCCACTCAGCATCTCCCAAAGTTATACTGATGGCTAAAAGAATTACCAACATCAGTATTTTCAAAAACTCAGGGAGTGGCGGGTAACGTTTCAGAAGCTTAGAAAAAAATTTTAATGGAATTTTAATAATTTTCAGAATATATTTCCTATATTTTTTCTGTTCGATAAACGGAACATTCATTAGGAAAATAATGAAAAAATGCTTGCTCATACAATCTTAAGAGACTATCAAGTTACAGAACATGTTTACATTGACAATACATGCTATATGGAGTGTAATCTGTTTTATAATGTCCATGTCTCCCTAAATTGGACACAACAAATATTTTACCTACCAATAATATTTATAATCCTTAAATTTGCGGAGCTTCGCCAGACAACCTTGGTCAGAATACACTGAAATAATATGATTACGGACAGATATAATAGACCGAAACTGTTGTTTTAAACAAAGCATTTAGAAGAAATAGCCCAATTCAGTTCAGACTGTTAAAAGTATGACTAGAGTTGGAAGAAAACATTGATTGCGACAAGATTTGATAGTGGTCATTAGATTACTGGTTTAGTGTTCTACTAATTAAATAACGAAGCCTAACTAATAACTAGGTCTTGACTGAACTTTAAGAGGTGAATAAACTTCTTGACTTTGCAGTCACTCAATAGATATTATGAAAAACCATTCTCAAAAGTAAAAAAATGTAAGCACAAAACAAGACACCTTTGATAAAATGAATAATTCGTTTTACTAAAAAACTAAACGAACTTGAAGTTTTTCCCAGATTCATCCAATATGAATTCTAGAAAAAAAGAAAATGTGGCTTTTGATTTATATTTCAAAGCATAATTATCTATACTAAATCTTTGCAAACCACACACCAAGAAGTTAGAAACTAATCTGATGATTATTTACTAGAATGAATAGATATACAGTTAGTGTGATTTGCATTAACAGAGGTCACTCAATGGGAGGAGTCACGTATTAGGTATGGAATATTTGGTCAGTGTTAGTATGATGATACATCAAGAAAATTATTTGCTTTATAAGACGGAACTCAACACTTATTTAAATGTGTAAACAAATTGCCCCGATATAAATTAAAATCAAATTAACTCATTAACCAGGCACTTGAGTATCAGTCAAGCTCTAAATGTAGAGGCTAATGATACCAACTGGTCGAAGTGGACGCAGCCAGATTCAAACCTGATACCTAGTGGCTGAAAGTCGAACGCGTTAACCACTAAGCCACGGCTCTTTCAGATACTCTGAAATGCCCGGTTAGAGGTTGATATTAGGCGATAATCTGCCACATTTAGAAGGGGACTGATTTCACAAACGTGTTATTAGTCCGGGCACTATGTTCATACTTTACTGATTTCCATCCAGACTGGGATTTTGAACTAAATAATCTAAAGGATTTTTAGTAAAGGCGACTTACGGTAAATTTGAATGAAGCTAATGTAATGTAGAACACAAAGTGTTTGCAAAATTTATAGCCGGCGGACTAACATGATAATCCCTAACAAAACGTAGCGATAAGTTAGACATGATTACAGGATTGGTGGTTAGATTATTGTTAAGTAGCTGGGAACAATTGCAACCATCTGCAAATAAAGAATGATTTAAAATATTACTTATCCTATCACGTGATGGACGAGACTAATATGACTGACCCCGCACCATCACGCATAAAGGTTAGTGAAATTACCTAAATACTAAACGTCAGAAACCTAAGGAACGCTTCAAAGCATCAAACAGTGATAAACCAAGCGGGAATAACAACAGAGGAACGCGAAAAATAAGACGATGAAATGAATGCTCTATCTGCTACCCTGCTGACGGGTTTTAAACTGTCTGAGAGTGAACGCAACATCTAAAGAACCCAAACTCATTAGTCTAAGTGACAGATATCCATGACTAATACTCGTATGTGTTTCCAATCACGTCGTCAATACAGTTTGTTCCATTGACTTAGAAGCCTAAGTACAGGCTTATATACTCGTCTTCTAGTTATTATTTTAAGGATTAGTGATGGTGCTTATTTGTTCAGACGAAAGTAAGTAAGATAGTGAACAGGTTTTTCGAAGCTACTTATGAATAAAAAATCTACCAATATCTATCAATCTATAAAATGAAAGATAGTGAATATAAGTTCGAACTCATTATCTCTGCCGGGTACCGACATAATAAGTTTAGATATATGGAGTTGGAGAGATAGCTAATTTAAATCACAGGAATTTTTGCTAACAAGGTGAGTCTTGAACTAAAGTCACAACCTCAACACATTACTCATCTGAAATGTTTTTCGGAAACCTACATGAAAATTACTTGTTCAAACATGCAAAGTGAAACGAGCCTTCTATTCTAATAATTCTGATATACCTAGAATTAGAACGTACCTGGTGAGGGCATGTAAGCATGGAACAATAGGTCTCCACATTTGCCTAGAAGGTTTTCTTCACATAAAGATAGTTTTTTAACTAAAATTGAAGGTTTCCAAACAAAATTCTATGTACCTAGAGAGTCCAGCGCGTAAAACTGAGCTTCATTCTTGAGTGAATTGATATCGACACCATTAAGATTGACCTCACTAGTTCGTAGGTAGTTGAGAATGACACTGAACATATCTGGATCTCTGTCTATGAATATCTAATGCACTCAGATTATCATCAAAGAAACATACAGCCCCTGATTCATCTCTCATAGTGGGCAAGGCACCATCAAGTAGTCTAAAAGGTAAGAACTACAGTAAGCGGTAGTTTACATGCTAAAAAATGAGTTTTTGTTCCACAAAAGTGTATTGCGGGAAGTAGAAAACCTGTAAAACGACAATACAATCTGAACTACATGCGTACTTCCGACCACCAACATTGAGGTTGACAATGTCACATCGCTTGCTCATGTTTTAGTTCAGCTCGGAAAACGAACAGCTGAAGGACAGACTTTAAATTTGTAGCAATATTCAATCTTCAACTGCCTAATTTTTTCAGCTCTCTACTTGACGTTAAGCTGCAATTCCAGGCAATCTGGCACTTCAGTTGCATTACTCCTAGTGAATCTGATAATTATTTGAAGTTTAATATTTCTTAAGCACAAATGTGTGCAACTTTCTAGGGAAATGAAATTGTTAGAATCATCTATTATGTTACAAGTCGGATGACTGATTAGCTATGACATTAAAGATTTTGGAACTAGAGTAAGAAGGACCAGGGTGAAGAAATATATTTACAAACTGATTAAACTAATGGGAATATAAGTAAGCAATTATAAATGTTTATAAAAGTAGATGAACAGCGATGATAAGAGATAAGGTGGTACAGGGATTGCCAATACTAATAATAGCAGTGGATAAAATTCGAATTATTGTGAAGGCATGTTAAGAGGTGGATAACGAATTACCAAATGTACACATACGATCTACTACTGTTCCTAGTGAAGGCCAGAAAACCATATGAATTTTATAGTTGCTGAATCTCCTGAAACTATCGACTCGAGGAGCTGTAGTGACACCTGTTGGAAGTGTATTCTATGAACCACGTTTACTTGATCCAAACCAATAAGAAAGCGTGCAATACAGAATTTGCGAAGTCCATAAACATTTCATGGATATGTACTTTCCGGTATCTGCACATTCTTTCAGTAGCATCTAACTTACAAGATAGCGATCGAATGAAATTCAGGGTTTCTGTTCCTAAAACTTCTTTAATGCTATTTAAAACTTGGTGCTCATTGTTGCCAATGTTGAAGCGACGGTTTAGAGGTTATTAAGCTACCTATCGAAGCGTGCGTCGAAAACTTCAACTGCTTCGAGGTCCGTAGGAGTCACCTCTTGTGGTCTAGTAGTAACAAAAATCTCCTGACTCGTGCATTACCTTTGTGACGCAAATGTGTACACGCGATTGTATTTGAACTTAGTCTTATAGATGGATTCGTTTAGAAATACCTGACATCTTTTCTAATGCTTATGTTACACCTGCCTTACTGTGTTATTTGTGGGCTATCATCTGAGTCCTTTAATACGGTTTAACGTCTGCCCCATGCACTCCTCATACACTAAAACACTCTCCCGGTCCTTTATTTTATCCAATATTTTATCTTATCTGAATTTTGCAGCAACCTTGTGGCATCTTTAGAAATGTCTCGATGAATAATATTCGTTACGACAGTCTAGTGTTTACTGATTGATGTGCCCACCGAGCGATAGAGAATCTCGAAGGTGACCTTCCCTATCTGGAGAGTCTGTTCATGGAAATGAACTTCCTGGTCAAACATATCCGTCTATTTTCAGACGAACAATATCCTTACGCACGTAATAAACATATCTAGTAAGACTCACTATGTTCTTGTTTTATTCAGGTTATTCTAATTGAAATGCTGAAATTTTTTCGCGCAGTTTCCAGTGTGGTCATTTCTAAAGATGGTCACATAAAAGATGTCAAACATACTAGCACATATCTGATAGATTTGTAAATTATGTAAAGGGCTATCAACCGCTAAAACAAAGAGTTAGCAGGTTATAGATTGTTTCCATCACCAACACTCTGAAACTCCTATTAGTAGCTCATAAAATCTGCAGTTATTAATGAGTGTTTTGTTCTGCCAGTGCCACCAATTAGACATCTACACGATTTTTGGAACCATAAGTGGGTGAGGTTTGACTGTTCCAGAGAATATGGGGTTTGTCGGGACAACATGTTCTTCAACACACAAACAAACACTTTCATAAATTCTACATAACCCAGAGATCTCGCTGGGCTATGTGAAGACTTTAAAGAATAGACTATTCTCTAAAACAGACCACTAAAATTTTAATGGCCGACGTACAGGAAAAACAATCGTCAGAATATCAAATCCATATCAGTTGTGTCGTAAGACGAACGTCCGATGTAGCATATTTGTTTATAATACATCAGTAACGACATGAACAAACTGTTGATACTGCCATCCGTATGGATGTTTGTTATAACTGCGAGATAACTGACTCATTTTCAGTGAAACAAGACTGATTTGATTCGGTGCAAGGAAAGATCCAAGATAACAAACGCAAACCACTGGTCAACACGAGATCATATATGTCAAGTTAGTAGACAAGTTTGAATGTGTTGAGCGAGGATTAGTTGACACTAATCGATCGGAAATTCGGTGTGCGTATAATTTAATAAATCACTAGATTAACTGCTTTAACGACTCATGACAGATTACTGCGTTTGTTTTTTCCTTAACCCTTTTTTCTAAAAGTTGAAAAGTTCCATTTTTTCACGAATGCTTTCATTGCATAATAGAACTAATTACTTAGAGCCTGGTTCATAAATTTGTATTTCTTCAGAAAGAAGTTTATGAGTCTCTCTTCATGTGTTATTTCTGTGTCAGCATTCGCAGCTTGTTTGAAAACCACCGGATTACGTTCCGACAGGCCCACGACTACATTACAACATTCTAAGCAGCGTAGTAACTTGCTCTGAATAACCTTTTCCAGAAGCCACTTAACTAACAAAATCCTGGGAAATCGAACTTATCGCTCCCGGACTATTTTCTTCTCAGACCGTGTGAATCCGGTCTACCCTGGTTGTGGAAGTCCATAAATATTGGGTTATACATGGTCAAATGGAATTGGCTCACTCATCTCTGAATCGCTTCGTTTTCTATTTTTCCATCAACATCATCCGCTCCGTTTGCATGATTGTCTAAATCAATGAGCGTAAAAAATATATGTGTTCAAACTTCATTCCTGTATCTGACCTGGTTCTGTTATTTGCTGACGCAGTTTAAGTCAATAGTGATATCCAAGGGTAGCTGGGATATATTTAAATATAACCTTGTCATAGGATCGAACTGTAAACAGATCACGGCACCAAAAAACGATTGAGTAGATGACTAACGGAAACTGACGCATAGAACTGTTTTTTGAGTTCAGAGTTGTCAGAGCAGAGGATTGTGAAAAAGCCGCATTTTGGAGAAATGACTATAGTTTTTCTTCTCCATATATAATATGACAACCGGCAATATGCAACTTACGTAACTGAGAAGCCATTGTTAGATAAACGTTTAGGCGTGGGATCAAAGAGGATTTTCACCGTAAATGGAGGACAGATAAATATGAAGTGGAGGATACACGATCCAAGATTTATCACCTACTGATCATAATAAAAACGGATTGGCTGAAAATTCCACGATTTGATGTAATATGACAGAATAAATTCAGATGTGTAAAACTACTACATCATTTTCCTAAAGTCAGTGAAGGAGGAGAGCAAATGTGACTGAAACACATAGTCACTTGATTTCTTACGTCTCTATAAGATGGATGATTAGAAATAAATAGAATGTGGCTAGTAGTGAAAGACAAGATCCACGTCTCCTCTCATTTCACCACTCTTCGCCAAGAAACACCTGGATAATATAGTCAACGTTTATCATGGGATTACAACCAGCAATCTTTCGCTTCAAACTTCACCGTGTTATACACTTAGCTACTGAGTTTAGACAATTCCTCGTTTACGTCAAGGGCATGGGTTTCAATTTGATATGTAATTTAATGGTCTAACATTGATCGACAATAACTCAAGTCTTTTGTAGCCAGCTGATCAAACATTGATTTGGATGGACGAAATGAATATGCTATGAAAAATGGTCTTCCACTTAACTCCGTGTATTTCCAAGGTTAACCCTTCTTGTGTGAAGACGGTTAGGAGAAACCAAATACGGGTTAAGTTGAACTAAGTTATCTCGGGCATTCGTTTATCTAAACAGACATTCAGAATAATAAACGAAAACGAAGCACAAAAGACGAATGAGCAAACTCGATTTGATCAAAAGTGACTCAGTATTTATAACAAGACAACAATAAACTACAGATATGTGATGAGTAGACTGAGCAATACATACACATTCGCTCTCATAAGAAAGTCAATGTTAATAAACGAGTAATCAAAAAGGTCCGAATATGGCTCAAGAAGAAGGAATAAACTGGTCTGTCCGGAAGTTGTGACAGCCCATATGGGCCTGAAAGTTTTTAAATACTATAAGTCCTACAACCCTATGCTGATAATTTGTAATTGTTTAAGTCATCCCTCTGTTGATATTTTGACCAAAACTTTATCAGTCTTAGTTGTTATATATGTATTCTGTGAATACTATCTCGATAAACCTATTATAACACAAGTATACATAGGACAGATGGGTAGTTTAGGTGACATGGCTATGCAGTGGTGTTATTCGTACTTTTCCAACCGGCATACACACCAACGCTAACAAGAATAACTGATAAAATTCCATCGTCACAATGGGAAAAAAATCCTGTTAAGTCAACGAACAACACACACCAAACAAAAATGAATGTACAATTCCATTTGCTCCAAAGGGGAGTCATCGAAACTGATCCTCAGTAATCAACGATGAGAGTTCTTAAAAAATACGAAAAGTGCTTCGGTCATAGCGATATACAGCAGAATCAATCAGAAGTTACATCAACAACAAAGGTACAGTGATTCAATGTGTCGGTAGTCAAAATGTAGTGCTAAGTGAAACAAAAATGAGGCAGCTATCAAGAAGCCTAATGAAATCGAGGATTAATTCAATTTCAGGTTCTGTAGACACTATAAGAACATGATAACTGCAAAAAGTTAAAAAATTTGGACGTGATGTACCTACGTACAGTGGTCATAAAAGGATTACATGCAAAGGCAAAAAAAAAGAAAAATTGCTATTCGGTTCCTCAAAATCTACGAGACTGTTTACAAATCGACGTCGCTCGGCTGATATAGATCCGTCAACTATTGACATTGGTCCTTTTCAAAAAACATCTGTTTTCATTCATCTATTTTTGTAGCGCTTCTATAGAATAAAAACGGTACAGCGCCAGTGATCATATAAGCAAAATCGCATGGGAAACTTTTCCGAAGCGTTGTTAACGTGTAGAAAATAATCTGACTCCAAAGACGTTCTAGTGTT